TGAGTAATAAACTCTCCAATGTAGATGAGGTATGATTAAATGGAGTTTCTTGTAAATGGGTGAATTGCAACTTTTTCGTCATGATCTACAGGGGTTTGACATAAGAAACTGCGAAGTTTCGACTACTCCTGAAACTGTCTTCTCGTAGTTGGGTATTTTTGGTAGATATCGAAACTTTAATCTGAAGGCTGACTTCCCCAAGACACTCTTGTTGTTCCTCTAATATCGTTTTTGCAGAAAGCACAACAGCGTCTCGACAATACACCACCAGGATCTCCCTAAGCGTTGTTATATCCCCAATCCCCAATGGGATCCCTTTCAATTTGTATAGATGCAATAGGTGGAGCCGCTCGAGGCGCGGGAAGTGAGTGGCCTCCGCCTTCCACTGTTCCAGATTAGAGCAACTTTCTATTCGCAAGTATTTCAGGCTCGGGAATCCGCCATCGGCTGTTTCCCAATCGGTCCCCACGAACGCATGATTCTCTAGCTTGAGGGCCTCGAGATATGGCAACGACCCTATCTTTGTCCCCATTTCCTCCCACCCCAGACACATGCCCCACAGAGTCAACTTCTTGAGCGAAATCGGAAAGTCACCTCAATTTGTCGAGGGAGATATGAATAGCATGAAAGGGCCTCCAGCTTGTGTAGCCGACAGAGATTGTCGAGACCAAAGTCAGCCGATGATAAATATTCTTTTTCGTATTTTATTCCGAGCTTCTTGATATTGGGTATTCTCTCAACCATTTCCTCACCCAACCTCAAGTTCCATACGGTCTGGAGAGTCTCTAGATTCTCCAACACCATCCAACCATGTTCTTCATCCATTGGTGGAGGAGGGTCCGTGAGCCGGAGCATGCTTATCTTGACGTGCCTGAGTTGGGGCATCTGCCAAATGTCCAGCACCAGCCTTCTACTGCCAATCCACGACAAGTCAACTATTAACGTCCGTAAATTCCAGAGTCGAAAAAAAAAATCCACATGAAATTCAAATCCTGGGGCGACCAGGTGGCACAAGTTGACAGGAAGAAAAAATTCTTGTCCAGAATATTCATGCAAGTAACGATATGATTTATGTCCATAGTGAATCTTCAGCAATCTAAAGGGAACTAGAGATGGTAAACTTCTATCAACATAACATATCAGAGTTCGCGCTAGTGATGCGGATTGCACAACTTCAGGAATGTGTTGCCCGGCTTCGTGAATGCTGATACGGCGTTGGGCGCACCAGCTTTGGCCGTGGTCATGGTTGTGCGTTGTTTTCATGGTGCGAAAGAATTTGTATTTCTCGGCTTCTTGTATGCATAGGTCTCTCAAGAGATCGTGGATGCCGCACAGTTTTATTCTTCGAGTGCAGCCCCACCCACGAACCATGATTAGGTTTCTGATGATGAGATCATGTAGGTACACTACTCTAGCAACTGTTTCCAAGCTTTTACCGACCACTGGTTTCACAAATCCTTCATCAACCCATAGTTTGATGAGCGTGGGGACGTGAATCTCATGGTCCTCCGGGTACATGCCCATGTAGAGAAAACACGGCTTAAGGTAGGGCGGCAGTTGATTGTAGCTCAACATTAGTATTCTAAAGCAACGCTCGTCATCCTCTAAATTCACGATCGAGCTTAAATTTTCTAAAACAAGCTGCCAATTTTTCCGTGATTGTTTAGATTTTGCTAGAAGTCCTCCAATCACGACAATCGACAATGGAAGGCCTCTGCATTTTCCAGCAATCTCCTTCCCAGTCTCTTCCAATTCCGGAGGGAACCCTTTTTCCCCAAACACACACCTACGCAGCAGATTCCAACTTTCGTTCTGATTCAGTAAACTCATCTGAAAGTAATCCTGGCCATCGAGCTGCAGAGCCACGTTCAATAGCCTAGTGGTTATCAATACTCTGCTTCCGTCGTTGTTATCTGGAAACAAGTGTTTCACCCTATCCCATGCACTTGTAGCCCAAATGTCATCCATTACAATCATATATCGTCGGCCGAATAAGCTTTTATGCAATGTGTCTCCTAATTCATGTTCGCTCATCTTGCCGAACATGTCCTTCCCAATGAGTTTCAGACAGCGAAGAACTTCTAATAAAATCCTTTTCGAATCAAATTCTTGAGAGACTGTAGCCCATCCTCGAATATCGAAGTATTGCACAACATATGGATGTTCGTAAATACTTTTAGCAAGAGTGGTCTTACCAATACCGCCCATGCCGGAAATCGCGATGATCCGACGATTGGATTGTTGATTGGTCAGCTTATCCATGACGTCGTTCATGACATCAGGAAACCACCATCGTGTTGTCATCGCTCTCGTCAGAAGGACCGTTCAGCTTATCCATGATGTTCATGACATCATCGAAACTCACCATGGCGTCATCCTCTGTGCAAGGAGCAATTTTTTTTCCCGTCTTCTCTTTAACAGCAGCCACGTCTTTTGTGATGGATTCCAAGTCATGCATCACTTTCTGCAACTCTCCGTACAAAGAGTCGTTGTCCTTTGAACTAATGTTAGCTTCCCACCGAGCCTCAATATGATGTGCAATGTGGGACTCGATTATGTCCTCAGCTTCCTGAGCAGCATCGACCATACGTCCCTCCAAGCCATCTGCTTCATCAATAATATAGTTTTCAAGAAAATCTTGCAAGAAAACAAGCTTTTCTATCAGAGGTTCGATTTGTAGTTTGTCGAGGGAGATGGGTGGGCGAGGGTGATTCTGGATTTGGTCAATGGTGTTTGTAAGAGAAAGCAGAGCTCCATAAGCTGACATGGTATCCCTTTGCTCAAATGAAATCCAGTTAGCTAGTAGAGAATGGGCAATGAGGACAACTGAAAGGTGAATCTCAAAGGCTTGCAGAGAAGAAGGAAGGAGACTCAAATGAAAGGGCAATGAATTATGATAGATTAGAGCTACCCGTTGACGAACAATGTTAATATTTAACCTCCACTTGTATTTTTAAAAATCGTACAACTTGTTAAAAAATCGTTGCTTCCCCAATGGTATGAGCTCACCATCTTGACCAACAATGTTAATATTTAATCTCTACTTGCTTATGAATATGTATCCAGTAGCTTTAACTTACATTATGTTTTTGTAAATTCAGAACAGGAAGAGATGATGCAAATAAAAAATCACATTATTTTGATAACTACGTGTACAAATATATATATATTTTTTTTTCATAACATGAAGAAAGGATAATATGATGTGTTGTGTTACCCGGATGAGGCTTTTCAGCCGGCTGAGATGCCGGTTCAGTTGGTGGTTACCGGTGCTTTGTTTTTTTCTCTATCTGCATGTACAAAGGATAATATGATGTGTGTTGTGTTACTGTATTGCCTTCATTTTTGTTGGTATATGATTTAAATTTGACCCCTGAGATGAATGGAGAATGAGTGTGCATGAAGTGATTTGAGGAGGGTCATCACTTGAACTTCTTCCATTACTAATTTCTGTCTCTCACACACAGTTGATTAAATACCTGAAGGAAATAAAGAGTCAAAATACTTGGTAAGATTGTAAGAAACGAAATTCAAAAGGCAAAACGAGCATCAGTATCTGAAAAACTGTCCATGAAAAATATTATCAGCATTTCCAATGAAACAGAATAAAATTGCCCACATAATCTACTCTACTACCACAAGGCATTGATACAGAAACTGGAAAGAAAGATCAGCTCCCAATCACCTATTGACATACCAAGTACTGTAATTAACAGAAAACAATTGACAAATGCCTCAACCAAATTCATCCATATACATCTGTTTGTCATTGAATATGAAAACAGATCACGTGAATCGCACATTAACGTACATCATTCAAACATTTTAAGAGACTACCAGCAAAATTATAGGATCCACAAGGATCAAGTATGAGTACTATGCAACCAAAGTTCTAACAAAGTCACAAATTTTTCAATTCCTTCCGAAATCTAAAGCTAACACAACATCTATATTTACAGCCATCATTGAACTTCTTCTTTTTGTTTTTTTCATACACCACAGTGTTATCAATGGCAGATGGCAGGCAGCAGGCCAAACCACAGCGGCCTGGGGATCACCGCTACAAATCTTTCTTAGATGAAGCACATTGCTTCGTAAGGTTGGTCAATAGATAGGCCATGGCAACCTTTGTAGCCAAGCTCGAATGTCCTTTCGAGAGGCAATAGCACCACCAAGAACAATAAAACCATTTGCAATCAACTTGCTCGAAGGCCATTTCTTGAGTTTCCTCGATCTTTTGGACCACCAAGAGTCTAGTTGGTTGTTGGCAGCTGCTGTTGAGTTTTCTGGATGACCCATGTTTGTATTATCATTCATGACTTCAAATTCAGGTGTACCTATAAGATTGCAACAGCCACAGGACAATGAAAAACAAACAGAAAGATTGAAACGATCAGCCGTTCACAACCACTGATGAAGGATTCCTAGAAAAGTTAAGGCTTAGTAGTACAGGTTTTACTATTTCAATAGTGAATTAAAATTCAGGTCCTAGTCAACCATGCACACCTCGGGTCTAGCTTGAAATTACCCACAACTTAAAAGGTGAGTCAAATATACTCGTCACTTAATATCTCCGACACTGAAGTTTTCCATAATTACGTTTGATCGAGATTTCTCATATTATTTTTATTTAAACTTTTAATCAGGATTTGATCCTCGTTGATCAGATGATTATCTTCAGTTTGCTACATTTGTTCAACAACATACAACATACAACATACAACATACATACCCAGTATATTCCCAACAGGTTGGGGTTTGGGGGTCAGTTGTACGCAGACCTTACCCTTGTAATTATACAAGGAGGCTGTTTCCATAGCGACCCAAGGTGCGTTGCGTCGTTTGATATTTTTTTTTCTAGAAACTTCACTAATACAAGAAGCACTAGAATTTAATTGAGCCATTTGTTCCCAAAAAAATAATTTGCCAGACTTTAGCCTAGGTGAACTTTTGAGAACAGAATTTCAACAACTGCAAGCTCACAGGACGTAAGTTCTGACCTTTTGGATACACAAGCTCGCATCAGAGTTTAAATTTAGTAGATGCTGCCTTCCAGCAGAGTATTTACGGAGGGCATCATCCATCTTGCGCACGTAATTCCATATTCCTTTTGCGAAGGCCACTTTTGCCATTTCTACATTCAGACCAGCATCTTCTTGGTGCACCATTTTGATCTCACAAGCATATCTACCAGGAACTGCAAAATAAGAATTCTAGTAAGAAATCAATCCGCAGGAACATTACCATTGCTGACTTCTAATCTTACGCAACAATAAAATACTTCCAACAAAAAGAAGTCTAATATTTCGTTTATTGACAGATTCACAAAACAGTCGTATCGCTTGGTTCAAAACATCTAAAATGTAGTTTACCAAAAAGATTGCACAATGTGCTTAAGAATCCTGTCACGGTCAGTTTATTGAGTGCTACCAACCAAAAATCTTATTCTCTTAATATCAGCCATAAAAGAATCTGATTTGATATTATCAATATTTGGTCAATTTTCCTACTGATTAACTTAAAATAGATTGCTTCTAGTTAAAACATAAAACATAAAATTGTCTGTAAAAACAATTGTGATATATTCCTAAAACAGATGCCCTAGGTTGCTACAGTTCATTTTTAAGACGTATAACTTCCTATATAGTTTTTATACTAGATAATATATCCGGGGAATAAGATACACGCACACATGTTACGTGGAAAGTTAATAATCATTAAAAGTATTCCTTGCGGCATTCAGTTAAAACTCAACAGGGATTGCTTGTTAAAGCTTTGGATATTAATCTAATATCAAAGTGCTTCCAGTTATCCAGACACACACAAACTAGTAGTCTAGTACAACAGTTCACATAAGCAATATTGTCGACCGCTTGCTTTACCGTGTTCACCAAGCCATATCAGTTTTTAGCTCGACAGAAGCATTAAACTCATTAACACAACATTCTATTGCACTCCTTTACTGTGGCCAATCCAACCCACTATATATCACCACTTACCGAAAACGAGCTCCATACCACGGCTACAAAACAACATCATTCCCAATGAAAATGAACATAAGCAGTTCTATAATACAAATTGCTAAACTATAAGAATGCAATGAAATTTGAAACACAAGGCAGAAAACCATGTGAATTCTCAGATAAGAGAAACTAGGATGCAGGATTTGTACGAAAGATGAAAAATAAAGAATCCAAATGTACCTTACTAAAGCAGTAGAAGGATCCATCAACTCCCTGCCAGACTCTCCATGCCAATACGTAATCTCTGGGTGTTAACAACGGAAACTTCTTAATCATCCGGCCAAATTCAGTGCCAGAGTCACCATCCATCTGCAACTGCTGATAATGAACCACAGTCTTATCCCACTGCATCCTGTAACTATTGTCCATGTAAAAACACACCAGCTTCTCAACCGAGCATTACTCAAAGACAGTCACGCTCAGGTACTTCAACGGCCCATCCTGCATATCATGAAAGGCCATCTTGAGAGTTGCTGGGTAGAGAAGTATAAAGAGCTTCAAAGAGAACACCAAAGCAATAATACCTTAGGTTTGCAGCACTTGGCCTTATATGAAATCAGATTGTTACTCTTGTCCACGACGTTTTCCCAGACCACACCGTTTTCCGGCGACTTCTCGTCGAGTTCATTGATGAGATTCTTCAAATCCAAATCCGATATAATCCCTGGGCCTCTGACGAGACAAATGCGATAGATGAAGGAAAAAGGGGAAAGGTTACAAAAAAAGGCACGAAATCAGAGATGAGAGAGAGCTACCGGAGAGAGGGAATACCACCGTCTGTTTTAGGTTTGACAGGAATTGAGACGGTCGGCCTCCGGCGAGAAAAGCGGAAGCGAAACGTGAGCAAACGGAAGGTGAATATGAGGAGCACTGCTGCGAGGCTCCATGTCCACGGCCACCAATCTCCGGCCAATTTGCCGTTTCCCATCCAGAATTCATCTTCAGTCTGTACCATCGTCATGTAGAGATGTTAAACGGGCTAGGCCTAGCGGTTACGGGCTAGCCCTAGCGGGCTTCGGGCTAAACGGTCCGGGCCTAAAAAGCCCAAATTTAAACGGGCTACCAATAAAAGGACCTAACCCTAACCCTAACGGGCTTCGGGCTAAACGGGCTAAGCGGGCTTTAATAATAATATTAATAATAATAATAATAATAATAATAATAATAATAATAATAATAATAATAATAATAATAATGTATCAAAAAATATCAAAAATAAAAAGAAGAAAATTATAAAAAATTACAACGACTAATTAACGATTGTTTTCAACGGTATTTAGTATTTGTCACTCTATATATACAACTACACATCATATATGAACACATACTACAAACTCTTAAATAACATTTTTTTTTCACAAGAAAAAAATATTCAAATTATTACTTACAATTACTATTTCACTACTTATTTTGTACGCTTTGGAAATTTTTACGATATTATATTACTATAAATTCTATCACTATGTTTCATGTGTTAGGTCTTTGTCTCATTTGTTTCCTATTAGTCGTTCTGATTGAGTTAAATATTTTGGTGTGGAGTAAAATAAGAATATTGTTAATAATTATCTTTCAAAGTCAATATAATCCGTTACAACTCATACTTATATGTGAAGTGGAATAACAAAATTGTAATATACAATGAATCTAAGAGTATATTACTTACTTGCTGCAAATATTTACAACGCCCAACTGAAGTTAAACAAGTCAGCCCTATCGGGTTTCGGGCTAGCTCTAACAGATTTCGGTTTAAACGGTCCGGGCTTAAAAAACCCTGATTTAAACGGGCTACCAATAAAAAGCCCTAACCCTATTTTTTTTCGGGCTAAACGGGCTGGCCCGTCGGGCCAAGGAACATTTAACATCTTTAATCGTCACAATCGATCCAAGTCCACCACTTGTAGGATACTATGGCCCATTGGATTTCAAAAATGATCTATAATTTTATTTCTGTTAGAAACAAGTGGAATAAACCACTATGCCTCAATATTGATATTTCACTATTTGTAATAAATGAGAATAGTTAAATGAACAATAATGGGTATGGGATGAGCATTATTGGTGTATATTGTGTCGGCAAATTTGCCTATAAAAGGCATT